TCAGTCCACTGAGATATGGACAGGGAGGTGTAAGAATAACCACCCTTTATAGGAACTCCTCAGGGTTGTGGAACAGCCTACAGGGAACACAGTGCACACACACATGAACAATCAAACAAGCTTCAGTCGTTACCGATAACTTTGCATGATGTATTTGCTTCCCCACTAGGGCATTCTGAGAAACTGGGTGACATTCTCCTGAATGTTTTAACTCAAGAAGCAAACGTGTTACCTTCCCTGTATCTACTTACTCCATGGGGATCCGGAATTGCACTGTATCTTCCGGCAGCGGGATGCCAGGCCTCACCAGTGTCAAGAAGTAATCTGTCCGGAAAATTCTCGTTGGAGGATTTCCTAACTGATAAAGGGGATAACTGCAGACAAAGAAAATAAATATGTCTGAAAACTATGGAATTCTTGTAAAACAGTTTCAAATGTAAAGCATGCAGAGAATGTAAAATCTGACTAGAAATTTTATTTAAAATAAGCAGTATTTTTGCCTTATGTACATATGCTTAAAGAAAGGAAGCAATACAAATGAATATGCTGTGTTCCCAATAATCTTCTCCAACCTTAAATATAGTCGTATTAATTAGGCTTTCTATTCCATGGTGTAGCAGAATAAAGTGAAGAATAAAGTAAGTAAAATAAATGATAAAATAAAGCAACAGGAAATTATTCCTTCATTCAGAACTTTGAACCTTGGGGTAATACTTACTCACTGCAGTGAGATGGGCGATGACAAATTTGAAATATAAATAAATATAAACACTTCAGCTGTTAGGGTGACTTAGAGCTCCTAAATACATATTTACATGCTTATTAGCAAGTTATTATTAAATTAGTAAATTGTTAAATTTAATACATTATTATTAAACTAAATGTTCAGAGGCTTTTTTGCCCTAGAAGCAATGGTATCATCAATATCTTCCAGAAGACTATCTGGACAATTCCCGTTCTCGTAAGAAGAAAACAGTGATACTATTTCCTGTGTAAATAGAGTTATTGAGAATGAAAACTGTATGAGTTTACAGTAGCAGAATAACATGAAAGCGGCAACCTTATGCTAAAAGCAGGAGGTGTATTTGATTTACAGGAAATCTTATGGCTATCTCATTAGATGTAAACAAGTTAACAGCAGGAACAAGTAACTAAAGCAATCAGATAAATAATAATAATAAAGTAAATGAGGAAAATATGAAAGTACAAGAGAAACACTTCACCAGAATAATTTTACATTTACAGTACTTAAACTCTGGATCTACTTCAAATATTATAAAATCCTTCTACAAATAATGTTCTCTGGAAATTAAATAGGATTTGTATATATATATTACGAGATATCACCGTTAGGTGGCTAAGCTATTCCTTATGTTTTCCCAGTAACAAGCCTTCCTTCATATCTGCAGAACCACAAAATAACGCAGGAATAAAAGCCTTTGTCAAACGGCATGTTATCATTCCTAATTCCAAGTGATTTCAAAGATTTTGGAGATGGAAGCATTTATTTAAGTCGCTAGGGCATTCAGTAGACAAATTTCACAGATAATGAACAGGAAACATGCAAACTTCCAGAGTACAAAGCTACCAGGGAAAACAAATTAAGAGCTAGAATCCTTCACTAGAACGAGTGTGGAATTAACATCTTTGCACCTGACAAGGAGAGGTCAGGATACATATGCAAGGATCACAGGAGAGAATGTAAAGCTAAAAGGTAGTTGAGCGTATTCTTACAGTCCTGCAGAGTACATTTCTGATTCTGTAATTTATGTAGGTTATCTACTGAAATAAATGTAGGAGAGAAAGAGCAGAGGGATACAAAAGTGACCCTTTGGAGAAATATTTTAGTGAAGACTTTCTACCTACAGGTAAGACAATCATGTGCAAAGGGTCAAGAAATATATCCTCTTTCTAAAATTGAAACCTATGCCCTTCTCTAAGTATTGATTAACAGGTATTAAAGCTGCATCTAAGGTTGTATCTAAAGTTGCATCATTTGTGTTCATTTTGGTGTTTGGATGATTTTACTAGTAAATAATCATTAAAAAAGCCTTTCCTGACCCGAGTTATAAATTGTAAGTAATCACAATCACATCTATATGGGGTCTCCCTTGGCTTCTCAGCTCTATGTCATCATGAAGTGGGAAGTGATTTGTCATGGACTTGTTTCAATTTGATTTTGAAGTAAACAGAATATTAATCCTAGACAGGAGGCAATGGCAAACTTAATAAGCACATTTCAGTAAGAAAGATATTTTGATAACAGAGATCAGAATAAAGCAAGAGTTTTTAAGGGGTAACAAATAGCTATAAAAGTTATACACCAAGAAAGAAGTAGTTGCCTTCTGAATTATAGATTTAGAGACAAATACTAAGAGTACTACAAATAGCAAGAAAAAATGAATTGGCCTTGGATGAAATAAATTGAGGGGATGATCAGCAAGCAAAAACAACTATACTTTGAGCATGTGATGGGAGGAAATTTTGGACCAGAAACCTCTATTATGCTGGGCAAGGCTGAAAAATGTCTAAGAAGAGGAATACAATCGGGTAGATGGACAGGATCAAATAAATTATTGGAATGTCCTTGGAAGAGCTGCAAATTATGACTAGAAACAGATTGAGACGATGGGCATTTGTCCACGCAGTGACTTGGAATCAAACCAACGTGATGACACTTAATAACAGCTAAGTATCATTATCTGTCACACAATAAAAACCAAGTGTTATACAACGAACAGACACATACAGTCAGGTCCAGAAATATTGGGACATCGACACAATTCTAACATCTTTGGCTCTATACACCACCACAATGGATTTGGAATGAAACAAACACAATGTGCGTTAACTGCAGACTGTAG